ATGGTGCTAAGGGTACTGGCACGGGAAGTGCTGGTTCGGGGGTGCTGGAGCTGAGGGTACTGGCACTGGAGGTGCTGGTTCTAGGGGTGTTGAAGTCGTCAGTGCTAGCATTGGAGGTGCTAGATCTAAGGGAGCTGGAGCTATAGGCGCTACTTCTGCGGCGCCTACTCCGCCTCCCTACCAGTACCGCCGCGTTTCTTCCGCAGATATTTTCACGAAGGCCCTTCCGCTTGGTGACCACCACAGATTCTGTGTGCAATTAGGCCTTGTTTAGGTAGGCCCTCGGTTGCTTTAGTCTTGCCTCTTGTTTCTTGCTCAGTTTGTCTCTGTACTTACCGTAATCTCCCGTATATAGGACTCGGGGGTCTTATCAAATATGTTGTAAAAATCATTTAGGTGAACAATACCAAACGGCATTTTTATTAAGACCCATGAACATAATAAAATTTGCAAAAGCAAGGTTAAATCTAACTCGTTACAAAACCCCCCCAAATTCACAAACACGATTCAGTTTCGCATTGACGCGTATTGGCATCTTGACTGTAAGTTGGCCCAAATTCGTCCGCGCGTCTACGTGACGGCGTGAATTCCCAGCACCGCTGGCACGGCTCTGCCATCCTCTACCTGCCAGCACCTGACTACGGCCCGTTGTGGCATGAATCTGGACAGGAGGGAAGATTTCTCCGTCCAGAACGTGCGATGCCTGCCCTGTTGGCTAGGCCATCTGATAGAGACGTGAGCGACTAGGGCACCAGGTCGCTCACGTCCCTGATACCCTCGCTTCCAGAGGGGGGTAGTCTCAGAGAGTGGGGCTCATTGTGGCGTTTTGGCACAGCGTTCATTCTTGGAGCTCCCTCCCTTGTCTTAAGAGATGTTCGTTTCTTGCCGTGCTCAGCTAGAGCCTGCTTACGCAGGCAACTTTCAACATGTCTGCCCTCGAGATGTTGCAGGGGATGAGGGATAGGAGCGCTGCGAGGGCGATCGCTGCGAGGGCGATTGTTTCGTTAGCGAACGCGCCACCAACCCCACCGGCACCTCCTGCTCCTCCGACTCCTCCTATGCCACCTACGCCACCTACGCCGCCTTCCCCGCCAGCTCCACCGTCACCTCCTGCTCCACCTGCACTTGCTGAACCCGTGCCTCCTTTCCCTTACCCGTTCGAACCGGTGTATGAAGACGACGTGTTTCCTACGCCACCCGCTTCTGTCGACGAGTCTCTCGCCGCTGACACCAACGCCGACGACGACGAGGACTCTAACAAGTCTATTCCCGCCTTTCTTGTGCCTGAGTTCCCGCCTTTCTTGTGCCTGAGTTCCCCCCTGACGTCCTTCACGATGAAGAACCGTTAGTAATCCCCCGTGATTCTATGAACCCTGATGCGCGCAACAAGGTTACGCAGCATCGTCGGACATCGCGGACGATGGCCGAGAAGGCAGAATGGCTCAGGCGCATGCGCGAGGAGCACCTGACAGTGCGCGCGACGGCACGTATGGCCGGCATTGAACCCATCAGCGTGCGTCGGTGGAAGAAAGCGGAGGAGCAGATCGCATCTGCTGCTGGCTGCCGTCGTCGTCTCGTTGGTGGCGGGAGGCAAGCCAAGTACCCCGACATGGAGTTGTCGGTGTACAAGCAATTCCTCTCCTACCGTGCCCGTGGCCTGGCCGTGCCGATAAAGCTGCTACAAACTTGGAGTCGTTCGTCTATGAAGAGGCGCCACCCGGACGTTGACTGGCGAGCGTCGCCTCGGTGGACGCAGCGGTTTCGCGCACGTTGGGGACTCACCATCCGAGTGAAGACCAAGATCGGTCAACGCTTAACAAAGGGTGAGTTAATGCCTGGTTGTAGTGAATGTTTCCTATTCTCAAATCATACGACTGACATCCTCCTTTGCTGCTCTGTCACTGCAGATTGCAAGCCTAAGTGTGAGAGCTTTTTGCGCTTCTGCCGCAAGCAAGTCATCCGTCACGGCATCGACCCCTGGAACATGGTCAATGCTGACCAGACGCTAGTGTTTTTGGAGATGCCGTATGAGCGCACGCTGCACCACCGTGGTGAACGCACGGTCCAGATTCGCAGCGCCGGCTACGAGAAACAGTGCATGACAGTTATGCTTGGAGTTACGGGAGATGGACGGAAGTTGAAGCCGATGGTGATTTTCAAGAGGAAGACCCTCCCGAACGTGCGCGTCCCTCCAGTTAATGTTTCTGAGTTTGATGTCGCCTCTCAACCGTGAAAATTGCCTAACCTAGTCTCTGCCATGGCGGATGCACTCCCCTGCTGCAGCCCCTCGATGTCGCGATTAACCGTGCCTTCAAGGCACGAGTGCGCGAGCTGTACAACGAGTGGTTTTCGACTGTTGGCATCGACTCTTTCACACCTGCAGGTAAGAAAGATGTTTGCACCTTCCGCTACTGCTGCTGCTTGTACGATGAACACTTTGCTGACCGTGCGGTTACGATTGTATTGTAGGAAATCTCAGGAAGCCCCCTGTTGATGTTATCCTTAAGTGGATAGCAGATGCATGGGCGGCGGTCCCTGAGGACACCATCACCCGCTCGTTCAAGACATGCGGCATCAGCAACACGCCTGACGGGCGCGAGGACCACCTGATCCTCGCGCACATGTGCGATGCCGCGCAGGTGGAAGTGCACGACGACGTGCATGCTGCTGGCGATGTTGAGGAGTGGATTAATCCACTCTATGCATCTGGCGCCCAAGAGGCTGAGGAGGCTGGCGCTGAGGATGACGAGGAGGAGGACGAGTAGGGTGCCACGAGAGACTGCGGATGTTGGCGATCTGGTTGACTGGTACCAGTTGTGAGATGCGAGGGAGGCTGGCGGCCTGGATAACTAGGAGGTGGACGAGTAGGGTAGTTGTGGTAGTTGTAGTAAATTTGGTCCCTAACTGTGTAAGGCCTTGCTAACAAGACATTAAACTAGAGAAGTGCACAAAACAGTGAAAAACCCTCAATTTTAGGAAAGGGGGGGGGGGGGGGGTCTTATACTCTACATTTGAAAAAGGGGGGTCCTCACGAGAACAGGTCGGAATAAAAGACCCTTGGTCCGGAATGAGGACCCAGGGTCTTCTCCGCGGGGGGGTACTGTATCCGGGAGATTACGGTATGTCTGTGGGAGCATAGCAGATTTCAGGGTTGTACTTGTCAGAACATAATGCTTGTCTAGTCTGTAGTGGGGTACTCAATAGTGAGTATAACCCTTTTGGGCTTGCTATTTGTACTCCGCTTCTTTCTAGTTCAATCATCTTTCCTCTTCTACTGCTTGCACTTCTCTTTCGTGTACCCTAAACCTAGCTATGGCTTCTTAGTCTTAGCTACTATTTTGTCATGGAATCAGAGCGGTTACGCTCTTGGCCTGTGGGCCCCACGTGCTTCCGCTGCTTTCCTGTCTGTCGCGCGCCCCGTGGCGCGCGACGTCTTATTTTTCTTCCCGCCGCGCGTTCGGGTCGCGCGGCGGTTCGCTGCTCCGTCAAAGCGCCCCCCCCACCCCCCCGTCGCCTGCAGCAGACCCGCCCGTCACCCCCGCTGCCCCGTCGCGGCGCCCTGGGGAGCCGCGCGCGGCCCCGCAGCCACGTCGCGGCGCCCTGGGGAGCCGCGCGCGACCCCGCAGCCATGTCGCGGCGCCCTGGGGAGCCGCGCGCGACCCCGCAGCCGCGTCGCGGCGCCCTGGGGAGCCGCGCGCGACCCCCCGCTGCCCCGTCGCGGCGCCCTGGGGAGCCGCGCGCGCGACCCCCGCTGCCCCGTCGAGGCGCCCTGGGAGCCGCGCTCGCCCCCCTCCCGCTGCCTCGTCGTGGCGCCCTGGGGTCCCCCGAATCGCTCACGGATCGCCCCCCCCCTCCCCCCCGCTGCTGCCTCTGTTAGGGTTTGGGGGTGGCGCGTGTGGGGGTGGCGCGTATGGGGGTGCTGGTTGTGTGCTCCGTCCCCTGCTCCTCCTCCTCCTTCGTCTCCCACTGCTGCAGCTGCCGCTGAGGGGGGTGGATGTGTGGGAGCCGAGGGTTTAGGGTTTAAGTGGGGGTGGCGTGTGAGTGGGGCTAGGGATGCAGCAAAGGGGTGTGTGATAGGGGGGTGTGGGACTGACAGGGGGGGGTGAGCGGAGGTCGCAGTCGTGTCGTCTGCAGTGCCTGTAGTCCGGAGCCCTCGTGCTCTCGGTAGCCCAGCGAGCCTGCTGTGCCAGTCGCCTGTGGGTCTGTTGCTCCTGCCGCTCCTCGTAGCCGCGGAGCCTGATAACCCCCGTAGTCCAGTGCCCTCGTGCGCTCGGTAGCCACTGTGCGCGCCGCTCCTGTTGCCCGTTGTGTCTGCAGCTTCGCCCGTCGCCTGCAGCAGATCGCCCCCCACAGTTTCTCCTCCTCCTCGCTTGCCCTCTGTGTTAGTCTCTAGCCTTTGCTTATCACTATGATCTACTGCTCTGAATGCTTGTTGTGCTGGCTGTACCCCACCTTGACTATGGGGGTGTGTCAGAACATAATGCTTGTCTAGTCTGTAGTGGGGTACTCAATAGTGAGTATAACCCTTTTGGGCTTGCTATTTGTACTCCGCTTCTTTCTAGTTCAATCACCTTTCCTCTTCTACTGCTTGTACTTCTCTTTCGTGTACCCTAAACCTAGCTATGGCTTCTTAGTCTTAGCTACTATTTTGTCAGTACTTGTATTACCCACATTCCTAGTTCATTCATTCTGCTGTTCTAACTCCGAGATAAGAAGCCGCTTTCTTGTGATATGGGATTCTAACACTTGGTATCAGTAAAACGTGCAGTATTTACGACTTAAAAACGTTTGTGATGCATTTTAAGGGGCAAGTCTTTCCCCGAGCGTACTTCAAGGCATGTACAATACACTTAGAATTGTCAGGCTTGTAAGGTATTGTAATCTAGCAATTAGTCGTTTTTGGGTGGCTGTAATTTCTTGGAAGATTTTTATGTATACGGCACTAGCAATTGATCTCTGCACCATTAGGACGTGGTTGTGAACTCTTTGCAGTACGGCACTAGCAATTGATCTCCACACCCATGCCAGCTTGCCGGGCAGCAAGGGCTCTCTTTGAAAAGAAGTAGCGTGTGGGGGGTCGATTCTTGAGGGGCCTCAGAAACAGTGGCAGTGAGAAAGCCAGCAGCAGCAGCACAGCCAGTGGAAGCAGCAGCAGCAAGAGGTTTCGAGGCTTCTGGAGAGCAGACAGAGCCACCCCCACGACTGCAATGCCTGGTGGTTCAGAGGGTATACCGTGAGGGACGCACGTGCCAGCAGCAGGCCCTGGCGTGTACCCCTCATCACAGACGCAATAGCCATCAGGTTCACAGTAGGGTGGCGGCGGCACATCCTCCTCACAGGCACTCGTCTCCTCAGAGGGGTCCGGCATGAAGGAGCACACGCCATGGCCGCTGCACGGCGGGGTGAGCTGCTGCACCCCACAGAACGCCCGGCACTCGCTGTCACGCCTCTGGTCCTGCCAACGGCCGCAGGAGATCGAGTTGTTGTCAAGACAGTTGTGGTGGAACAGACACAAGCTGAGAGACTCTGCAGAATCCTCTAGGCTGGTAGCGTTGAACAGGAGAGGGTCTGCTGTGGCTGTGAGGTAGTTGTGATCTGCAGACAGTCCCTGTTGGGAAGTGAGACGGGCCATGTGGTGGAAGGAGGGCAGCTCTCCCGTCAGCTGGTTGTGGTCAAGCGAGCTGTGATGCCATGGGAAGGCGGGAGGGGAAGGGGTGGGAAGGCAGAGGAGTGCTTAGGAATGGGCGTGTAGGGAAAGATGGAGTGCAGGAAAGGGGGAGTGATGAGACAGGAGTAGGATCTTGAGTCATCGAATCTTTGAGTGGTTGAACCCAATTTTCATGTTTCAGCGCTGAATGATTCCTCTCATCATTTCTAAGGCGTGGACAAGGCGCTGAGGAGAAGGAAGAATCCCAAGTGGATCAAAGTATGAGCAAGACAGGACTCTGCACGAACGATGGTAGACTCAGGAGAGGAGAGGAAGTGGTGTTATTAGAGTAGGTGGTGTTATGGGTGCAGGCGGTGAGAGTAGGATGGCATTCACTCAGAAAGATGACCAGGTTGCCACCCTTCGAGTCAATGCGGGCGGCAGAAAGGAAACGAGCTGCTGCGAGCAGTAGGAGTGGTGTTTCAGAGAGAAGAAGAGGTGTGTAGCAGTAGTGCTGACAGTTGCGAACTATTTGGGGGTAACAACCATAGCATGGCAATACGTAGCAGTCACCCTGACTAGACAAAATATATTGCTATAATTTTGTACACACGAACTTTCAGGCCAGTACTAACACTTCTTCTTGGCAGGGGATTGATGTTTGACTTTTAGTAATTGCCCCCGATTGTGTCTCCCTAAGCCCGATGAATTTGCTAAACACCCTAATCTATCCGCTCCTCTTATATTCCACACCCCGTTCGAATGCTAAAACTGGGATTAACCATTATATTGAGGGTAGTTTAGGGCCACGACCTGGCTAAGAAAATGGTCATTGTAATGGTCCACGAAATGTGTGGCGGGGTCTGCTTACACGTTACAGCTCTTCGCATTCGCCAGGCCCGACCATTTGGTCGGCCATTAGGCCTGGACGGTACAATGTTAGACGCCCTAACACTGACAGGTATTCGAGATTAATGAGCGTGGTGATTGCAGCAGGTATCGTCCCTGCGAGGCGATTGGTGCTGAGTTTTCTGAAGAGGATAAGAGGAGAGGAGGGTAGGTAGTAGGAGAGGAGGAGTGGAGAAGAGAAGAGAGGAGAAGGCAGAGATGGTGCCTTGGAAAAGTGTGAGTGCAGTTGCTGAAGGTTGTGTGCCTTGAGAAACACACACCCACAGCAGCAGACGGAATCGAAGGTAACAGAAAGTGCCTCCGTATTCTCCTATTATTGCTCTCGTCTCTCCTCCCTCCCTCCCTCCCTCCCTCCCTCTCCCTCCCTCTCCCTCCCTCTCCCTCCCTCTTCCTCACTCTCTCTCCCTCTCCCTCCCTCTCCCTCCCTCCCCCTTCCTCCCCCTTCCTCCCCCTCCCGCTTCCTCCATCTCCCTCCCTCCCTCTCCCTCTCCCTCCCTCTCCACCCCTCCCCCTCCCTCTCCCCGCCTCCCCCTCCCTCTCCCTCCCTCTCCCACCCTCTCCCTCCCTCTCCCTCCCTCTTCCTCCCTTTCACTCCCTCTGATTCCGATCCTCATCCTACCCGCCCTCTCAAACCCCCGATGCTTGGCAGAGAGAGGCAGGCGGAACGAAGGGATGGAGAGGGGGGGGGTTGGAGGGGAGGGAAAATGGGCGCACAAGTAGGTGAGTGCGGTGAGGTGGCCAATGCAGGAAGGAATGGTGCCACTCAGCGTGTTGCTTCTCAGATCCCTGCCATGGCATATCACATGGGATGCGATGGGATGGGATGGGATGGGATGGGATGGGATGGGATGGGATGGGATGGGATGGGATGGGATGGGATGGGATGGGATGGGATGGGATGGGATGGGATGGGATGGGATGGGATGGGATGGGATGGGATGGGATGGGATGGGATGGGATGGCATGGCATGGCATGGGATGGGATGGGATGGGATGGGATGGGATGGCATGGCAAGGGATGGGATGGGATGGGATGGGATGGGATGGGATGGGATGGGATGGGATTGGATGGGATGGGATGGGATGGGATGGGATGGGATGGGATGGGATGGGATGGGATGGGATAGGATTGGATGAGATGAGATCAGCCCCATAGATTGGTTCTGGAGCAGGATGATAATTGGCAAAAAATGCCACTTCACATTAGATGATCGTTGTATATTCCTGGAAAAAAGAAGCTGATGATTCAGCTCTGGCAGGCTGAGCCTGTGTAAATAAACTGAACACGATTGGATGGGATGGGATGGTATCGAATGGGATGGGATGGAATGGTATGGGATAGATGGGCAGGCCATTAGCCCATATGAATGCCTCCACTCACTCTCTCATCCCGATACTCACCCACTCACTCACTCACTCACACTTTCACCCACGTTTCTGACTCGCCCACCCTCTCTCGGCCTCTCACTCTCCCAGTTACTTTCTCACCAAGAGGACCAATCACGCCGCATCATCCCACAGAACCTTCCATGCCTTCCCCATCACCACTCACAAGTCCTGCAGCTGCTTGAGGCTGCTGATTGCCTCTGGAATGGAGCCTGAGAGATTGTTTTGGCTGAGGCCTCTGGAGCATGATGAGGGTGCGACGGAGAGGGGAAGGCGGAGAGGGGAAGGCGGAGAGGGGAAGGCGGAGAGAGGAAGGCGGAGAGGGGAAGGGTGGTGAGTGGAAGGAGAGATATTTGAGGTAGATTGCAGGAAGGACAATCATGATTATGGAAATGGAAGGGGGGAAAGCAGTGATGCGTTTTCCGCATCCGAAACTCACACATCATGGTGGCCGTATCATTATAATTTTGTAGCTGACAAAACGTTTACATGCTGTTATTGTTCCTTTTTGCTCATAGTAGAGGTAAAAGAGGTGTAAGGCAGAGGAGACTGGGAGAGAAGACAACAGGGAAGAGGGCAGGACGAGAGACGGGATTGGGTGGGATGGGATGGGATGGGATGGGATTGGATGGGATGGGATGGGATGGGATGGGATGGAATGGTGGGATGGGATGGGATGGGCTGCACAAGCTACAACTCCCCATCACTACTCACAACCGCTGTAACTGCTTGAGGCTGCTGATTGCCTCTGGAATGGAGCCTGAGAGACCGCTCTGATATAGTACCCTGGAGCATGGGGAGGTTGGGCGGAGGGCGGAAGGGAGGCGATGGGAAGGGAGGTGAGGGAGCAGTGCAGAGTTTTGCTCTTTTTTTCCAATGATCGGAGCTGCCTTGTGCAACGCGGTGGTGTTATATGATCACTTTACTACTGAGTGAAAAGCATGCAGTGTTTTGGAAAACACTTGCTGATAACACAGGGCATTGACACATAGAGCGGAGGATGGGAGAGAGGGGGGTGGAGGGAGAATGGGAGAGAAAGGGGTGAAGGGAGAATGGCCACACAGGGAGGTGAGTGCGGTGAGGTGGGCAATGGAGGCGGGAATGGTGCCACTCATGCTGTAGCAGTTCATCCACCTGCCATGTGGTGGCATGGGATGGCATGGGATGGCATGGGATTGAAGATCAGGTATGGCATGTGTGGCAGCCCATGGCCAAGGTATAGCATGTATAGCGTCGTGGATGTGTTGCACTGGGTACTGGAGAATCTCTGTACAACAAGCTACGTTACTGGAAAAGCTCTGCGGATTGATTCTGAGAATTCTCACAATCAATCTACCGGAGAAGCTTCAGTCAAACGAGCCACGTTACTGGAGAAGCTCCAAAGGGGGAAAAAGACTCGCAGTCACACAAACACGAGAACTCTAGCGAAGCTCAATTGCAGAGGCACAAGAAGACAACCGAAAAGGACTCCAGGACTCAAAATGCACTGCCAGTATCCCATTGTCATATCACACGAAACGATGCACATCCCACTTCCGTACAGATTTTCCAGGTTGGTGAGCGCTCCTATTGCCTCGGGGATGGTCCCTGACAGCTGGTCCTCCTCAAGGGCTCTGCGATCAAGTGCGGCACAGTGCGGTGAAGTATGGCACAGTGCGGTGAAGTGTGGTGCAGAGAGGAATGGTGGAGGGGAACGGGGGAGGTTGGGTGTGGTGGAAGGTTGATAACGCATTGCCACACAAGCATCCCCTGTGCATTGCAGCACCAGCAGTGCATATACCTGCAGAGCGTGTGTCCGCTCTGCATGTGTTGGAAGCAGTGCATGTATCTGACCTGCTTGTGTCTTGCACTTCAGCACTCACAAATGCCTTAGCTGCTTGAGGCTGCTGATTGCCTTTGGAATGGAGCCCGAAAATTGGTTCTTCTGGATAATCCTGGTGCATTGAGATGGTTGGGTGGAAACAGGGAGGAGGGCAGTGCAGAGAGGGGAGGGGGATGCTTGGAGAGGGAAGGCCGGAAGGGAAGGTATGGGTAAGAGTAGACAATAGAAGCGGGAAGATGAAAAGGGAATGCAGAGTTGCGTACTGTTGAATGCAGATTCTGGAACGAGAGCATTCTTACGCGAACTAGAATGTCATGAGGGATTAGCATGTTAAAAGTGCAAAGAAGGTAGGTGAGATAAGAAAGGGTGACAAGGCACGCTTGTTATGGACAATGCACACTTGTTATGGACAATGCATGCTTGTTATGGACAATGCACGCTTGTTATGGACAATGCACGCTTGTTATGGACAATGCACGCTTGTTATGGACAATGCACGCTTGTTATGGACAATGCACGCTTGGTATGGACAATGCACGCTTGTTATGGACAATGCACGCTTGTTATGGACAATGCACGCTTGTTATGGACAATGCACGCTTGTTATGGACAATGCACGCTTGTTATGGACAAGGATGTTCGATGGGGCGTGCTGCATGGCATGGCAGATGGTGCATGGCATGGCAGCACGCACAGTGAAGTCAAGTCTGTGAGGCTGAAGATCCACGCAGGCAGCTCCCCAGAGAAATCATGATTCGACACGTGCCTGACGATGGAAACAGTACAAAGAGAAGCAGTCGAGAGGAAAGGAGCAGGGAAGTTATAGGAATAATGGGTATGTGGAACCCACGAACAGGGGATGTGCAAGGTGAAAATGAAGAGTGAGGAGAACGAAAGAAAGGAGCGAGCATGGCAACCATGAAAATTACCCTTTCATGCTGCAGTGTCATGCACAATGCTTCACACATCCCCTACGGTGCCATCCCATGCCATCACATGCCCCTCACCCGGCCTTACAGAGACTGCAGCTTCTGCAGCTGGGAGAGCTGCTCTGGTAGTGATACGAGTTGGTAGTTCCTCTCCAAACTCCTGCACGCACCATGCTTGCATCATGTTTACACCATGCATGTACCATGCACGCATGTACCAGCCATGCACCAGCCATGCACCAGCCATGCACCAGCCATGCACCAGCCATGCACCAGCCTTGCACCAGCCATGCACCATGCATGCATGTATCATATGCACCATGTATGCACCAGCCATGCACCATGCATGCACCACGTATGAACATCCATGCACCACACCACGGATGTGGAGGGTTAAGAAACATAGGAGGGTGCTGCAGGGGAGGGGGTTGTTGACGAGAGGCTGAAGGAGAGAAACGAGTGGCGGGAGATGGATTGGAGTGGGGAGCAGCAGGCAGTGCAGGTGGGAAGAAAGAGATCATGGCGATGGGGTGTGAGAGGGCAGATGGGGTGTGAGGGGCCAGATGGACAGACATGGGGTCGACACAAATTCCGGTGGAGGAACAGCGTTGTAAGCCTCAACTTGCTCCACCACTTGCACTCATTCTCTCACCTCACTCATTCACATGCCATCACATGCCATCACATGCCATCACATGCCATCACATGCCATCACATACCCCTCACCCTGCCTTACAAAGACTGCAGCTTTTGCAGCTGGGAGAGCTCGTCTGGTAGTGAGGTCAGTAGATAGTTGCCAAACAAACTCCTGCTTGCACCATGCATGCAGCATGTATGCAACATCCATGCACCACACCATGGCGGAATGGAGTGTGGAGCAGCAGGCGGTGCAGGTGGGAGCACGGAGATAATGGCAATGGGGTGTGAGGGGCCAGATGGGGTGTGAGGGGCCAGATGGACAAGGAGTAAACGCAGAGTCCGTGGGAGGAACAACACTGTATGCCTCCTCTTGCTCCACCACTTGCACTCATTCTCTCACCCCACTCATTCACTTACCTCTCACCCTCTCACCCACCCACTCACTCCCCCCCTCTACGTGCTGACCCCCCCCCCAAGCACACTCACAGGCGAGTGAGCTGCTGCAGATTCCTGAGCCCTTTGAGATCAATGCGATGGGCTGCACTGTTGCATGGTGGGGGCCATGGCAGGCACGAATAGGAGAAGGAAACGAGGGGAGAGGGCAGGGAGGTGAGAAGTTGGGTGTGCAGTAGGGCGTGCACACCCAACACGCAAAGACGGAGAAGGGGCAATAGAAACATGGGTGGGTGGATGGAGATAACAGGGGAAAGGGAAAAAGGAAGAGCATTGGGGTGGGACCTGAATCATAGTAAAGGGGGAGAGGCTCAAGAGAGGGCCGATGTGGGCGAGGCAAGAAGAGAGAATAGAAGAGAAGGCAGGCAAGACAGGGCAAGACAGCACAAGCCGTGTTGAACCAATCGAATGCAGGTCAGTCACATGCAAGTCAATGAAGACTGTCCAAGCGAGCTTTAGTCAGTACAAGCAAGGACCATTCTTTGCAAGCAAGGACCATTCTTTGCAAGCAAGGGGCAATTCACTACACGCAAAAGCTTTTCACAAGGGCAAGTTAGCAGGGGAAAGTGAGAATAGAACGCAAAAGCGCATGAGGCCCAGTGCGCAACGAGAATAGCAGTAGCAACGATGATAGCAGGAGTCTCACAGATCCTTGAGATGGGACAATGCGAGGAGAGCAGTGGGAAGGGAGCCGATGAGGGCCCACCCTTTAATGGTGCTGTGGAAGGAGACGGATGGCAGGGAGGGAGGGAGGATTGAGGTCGACTCAATTGCAGGTTTCAGAGGGTGGAAAGGAAATGGAATCAGGGTGCAGGAGGACAATGACATGCTTACAGTGCAATGACATGCTTACAGTGCAATGACATGCTTACAGTGCAATGACATGCTTACAGTGCAATGACATGCTTACAGTGCAATGACATGCTTACAGTGCAATGACATGCTTACAGTGCAATGACATGCTTACAGTGCAATGACATGCTTACAGTGCAATGACATGCTTACAGTGCAATGACATGCTTACAGTGCAATGACATGCTTACAGTGCAATGACATGCTTACAGTGCAATGACATGCTTACAGTGCAATGACATGCTTACAGTGCAATGACATGCTTACAGTGCAATGACATGCTTACAGTGCAATGACATGCTTACAGTGCAATGACATGCTTACAGTGCAATGACATGCCCATCGCCATCACACTTCACGTGATCCATGCTGTCGCAATCTCTGCCCTTCATCCATGTGCTTGCATCCCCCACATCGTCCCATTCATGTTCTAGATTCCTCAAAGCTTCCACTGCCATGCATCCAGGACATCCACCCATGCCATCCACTCATGCCATGCACCCATGCCATGCACCCATGCCATGCACCCATGCCATGCACCCATGCCATGCACCCATGCCATGCACCCATGCCATGCACCCATGCCATGCACCCATGCCATGCACCCATGCCATGCACCCATGCCATGCACCCATGCCATGCACCCATGTCATGCACCCATGTGAATCCCCCATGCCATACCCCCCATGCCATCCACCCATGCCGTATCATCCACGGCAGCATGTCATGCCCCATCTCGTGTTGAAAACATTTTCAAGGAGAAGCGAGAAAAACAGGGAGAGGGTAGAGGGATGGAGGTGGGGATGGCAGGAGGTGCAGCTGCCACCATCAGTGATGGTTGTTGTTGGTGCGGGCCTCATAATGCATGCTGAATTGCTGAATTGGGTCACGGGTGTCTGTGCGGTATGGTGCACGGCATGGCTGACTGTCAGTGTAACGCCTGTGGGCTAGTGTTAAGGGCAATCCGCTGCGCCAAATAACACCCTCGTTTTGACCCAGTGGGTAGAGAGGTGTTAAGTCAGGGACCTCCGTTTGTCAAAAGGAGGAGGTGGAGGGACGCATGTGCGTGCAGCACGGCTTACTGTCAGCACGGCTTACGCCCAGCGTGCAGTGCAGCAGCGTGCAGTACAGCTTACTGTCAGCGCAGCTTAAAGGCTTACTGTCAGCACAGCTTAAAGGCTTACTGTCAGCGTCCACCACGGGAGCAGCGCGTGCGAGGGGCATGCAGCAGCGCGCCACCACCAGCGCCACCACCGCCGCTCTCGTCGCCATCATGACGCCGCGGAGCGTCCCCTTAGCAGCCCACCACCCCATAATCGATGGTCGCCCGCGAGTATACTATACTAGGTTCTCCCGTGTTTTCCCGTGAGCTCGTAACTGGAAGGGGCTGCAACGAGTTGTCCGTACGCAGCGTGACCCGTGCGGAAACGACGCCGTTTCTATCGCATTTCTGTCGTGCTATCGTGATTTGCTTGTGTGTGCGCGTTTCAATGGGCCGAGACCGAGACTTTTTGAGCGAAAAAAACTGCTGGGAACGTCGCTCCCACCTCGTATCAATGGCGACTGTAACGCGGAATCGTAATTTCGACCATCTAATTTCTCGTCTTCGTCTTCCACAGGAGGCTTATGTGAATCACTGACGCCAGCGAGGTGCACTTGCATGGAGCGATGGGGGCTTGCAGCTTGCAGCATGCTGCGTGAATTGCAGGAGGGTTGGATGGTGTGGTTGATAGTGCTAGGTTGCACCCACTGGTTGGGATCCGAAAGCCAGCCCTGATCAACAGATTCTTCGCTGAGTGCAGTCGTTTCAAAACGTAATGGATCTCCCTGGATATGCGCAAAACGCTCTGCACCGCTCATTAGCTTCGGTGTTTGTGACTCAAGCCCTGAGGAGATTGACGGCTCTGGTTGACCAGTGGTTGGTGGAAAGGTGGGGTGTGGTGTAATGGTGGAGAGGCGAAACCCCTTACAAAAACAATCCTGTATAACGGATTGTCACACCGTTCTTGAACTCTCATCAAATCATCCTCAAAACAGCACTATTCCGACGCAACAGAGAAAGTTGGAGTTGCACAACTTTGAATAAAGGGTTACCAGTAATAAATGGAAGCCCAAGTGATGTAAAAACTGAAGCTTGTAGCATCACTTGTACTTGGCCAGTCAAAACGAAAACAGTGCCACTTGCCAACTTTCTCAATTGAAGACTTCAAGAAAAAACATTGCACCAGAGACTTTCCCAGTCACCTTCTCATCTGCCTTGCTCCATGATCACACCAGAAGGAGCTTGCATGGTTGCCTTCCCACCACCTCCCACACCCTTCAATTCACCACAACCACGACATCGGTACTCATGATGAACCTCCCCATCCACTTTCACCGCCTTTCCCTGCCCCGCCGCTTGCGCCTCGCCCGAAGTCTCATCGGGCAGGTGTGGGAGCATGTGGAGGCGGTAGTGCCGCACGGTGCGCACCTCCTGGCACAGCGAGCAGCAAGGCAGCACGTACCACGATGCAAAGTCCGTCGCTGCCTTGTGCCCGCAGCACCACACCTGCTCCTGCAGCAGAAACGTCCGCCGCACCTTCCACCGCCAGTACCCGCCATATGTCACCCCGAGAATGCTCCCCAGCACGCCCAGGCTAAACACAAACCACTGCATGATGGTGTTTGGAGTGTTGCGCGAACCCATCGTGAATATCACAATAGGTCCAAAGATAAAGAAGATGAACGTTGCAGTGAAGACGATCCTGTTGCCGAACCCAGCTCGCTCCACATGCCGTCCGTGCACGCAGAAGCAGCAGATTGTTGCGCTGAGTGCACTCCACCATCCTCCAGCACAGCAGTCAAACACAGTCCCCTGCCATTGCGGCCTCTCCCGTTGCGGTTTCTCATCGTCTGATCTCTCCCCTTCTGGTCGCCACACTGGAATCCGCCACTGCTTCGGATCCTTCAGCGTCCGCTTCCCCTCCCTCGGTAATATCTCCTCGTATTCCCCAAACCGCCTCGGCGCGGGCGGCTTTCCACCTTCCGCCAGCGAAGGCCCCTCACCTTCCGCAGACTGCTGCTCCTCCCCGCGCATCACGCCCGCGCGCTGCTTCCCTGTTTCACCGTGCGCCTGCCCGTCCGCCACCACCACTACCTCCATCTTCCCTTCGCATGCGATCACCCCGTCGCACAGCGCGCACTGCGTCGCTTTCGCTCCCTGCGACTCGCCTGCGACACTGTGCGACTTGCTCACGGACTTGTGCGACCCTGTACCACTCATCCCAAAGCTTCTGAAACTTCTGCGAACGGGAGGGTCGGCCGTGGCCCATCCTAGAGGGCTGAACATGCAGTACAAACCCGCTGTGAACGGCGATCCCAGAGCGATACAAACGAGGAACGCAATAAGGGGTACGGGCCGCTGCGGCTCAGGAATCGTCCAGAGAATAACCTCTATCGCGTACTGGAAGATGCAGTTGAGTTGAAGCAGCGTCAGCACGACCGCCATGTGGAACCGCTCGTCCGGCTTCGCGACGAAAGCGCCCGCCGCCGACAGCAGCGCGCGAAGGCTCGCGACGTCGACGCGGTTCCATCGAACCAACTGCACAGCGTAGTAACACCGGAGCGGGTGCATAACCAGGCAGCTAACCGTGCAGACGCCGTTAAGGATCTGATTCGAGAACTCGAACCACAGCTTCTCCTCCGTCCCGCCGAAAGCCCTCCACATGCCTGTGAGCGTGAAGAAGAGAAGCGCGCCGGAAATGGTCAGCATGCCGATCATAACGAGGGTCGCGATGGCGATGGGATGCTTGAGGGCCTCGGCGGCCTTTGCGAGCGGCTCGCGCCATTCCTGCGGCAAGTAGAAGGGGAGAATGAACGTGTCGCCGCAACAAAGCTGGCTCTTCGGCGCGATGGGCACGCACTGACTCGACGACGCGCCCTCTACCGGGTCTTGGTGCCGCCCGCTGCCACCGCCGTCTCCGCCACCGCCGCCGTCATCGTCGCTATTGCGCGTTCCTCGGCTGTCGCTCTGCTCCGCTACTGCGGCAGGGGAATGGCTCGCCGATTTGCTCGTGTTCCGCATCACGTTTTCTTTCCGCGCATCGCGGGACGGCTGCTGCACGGAGTGGGGCGCCGCCGTGGACGGGACTTCAGCGGTCGCGCTGGGGAGGGAGCCACAAAGCGACGCGTCGTTTCCATCGCGGAATGAGGAGGAGGGGGAAGCGGAGGAGCCGAGGTGGTCATCGTTGGCGAATGGCGTCGTTGACGAGGTGGACTCGTCCGACAGCACGGGGAACGGCGCGTTGGTTGAGAAGGTATTACTAGGTCGCCCATTGGGCGCAGCAAAGCGGTCCATGGCGTGACGATCTAAGCTGCGTTAGGTGAGTGGACTCGCGGGAAGTAAAGGCGAATCGGCAGGCACATAGGACGCGATGTTAGGTGGGTCAAAGCTGAGGTAACGTGCAGCACCTGCGCTTGACACCACATGAGAAGCAGCTGTGACCACTAGTTTTCGCCGCCTGCTTTGTGGCGGTGGGTGCGAACACTTTAGGGCGTGTGTGCTCCGTCAAATTTGGCAAAGTTCACGTTTTGGGGGCGATATATTTTTTGAACTTAAGTCGAATGGAATTCGACTTTCCTCGTAGCGAAGTTCGAACATTGCGGGAATAACACTGCAAATATGTAATCACACACGCAAGATCGAACACCAAAATTCGAACCTTTATGTTACCCGGTGCACGCTCGCCAAGTCAACATACTGTTATTTTTTGTTTCGCAATGCACTCGTCAATATCGCGCGGTCTTCGTGCGTGCCGAAAACACACACGCTCGCTTCAACGTGTACAAGCACGTTCATCTATTTGACTTGAGTCACTTTCACGTTCGAACTTTCACAGGCCCTAAAATTCGCGATTTTCGTCAGACGTTGTAAGCGGAATTTGCGAAACAGGTAACCACACAAAACTCGAACTTATTTTCGAACTTGGAAACGGAACACACACGCCCTTATTTTAACTGAGGGAGTGGGGGACTCTGGTAGTGGCAGGCAGACACTCGTCTCTCGAGTTTTGTTGCCGTGTATGGATGAACATGGTGGGAATCTCTAGGGAGGGATCAGACAGACGGCCAGATTTGATTGCTGGAGGGGAGACGAGGCAGGGAGGAGCATACTTAAACGTAGATCTGAGGGAAAGCACCAATAATTTCGAGGGACATGCCTTGTCAGATGTGCTAGCCTAGGTGGTGCAATGGTGTTGGTGGTCGTTCCTTCCCAGTGCG